TCCCTGCTTCTTCCTGTGGCACCTAGCCTGGAGTGAGATAAAACATGGGGTGAGGGGTAACGTAGTGGAACATGAGGGGACAGGTTAGGATAGGATACATATTGTTGTGTTGTTTTTTTTTCGGTTTACTGTGGATTCTCTTTAAGGATACATCAGAGGTCTGTTAGACCCCTGCTGCCTCCTCTATGTCCATCACTTACCGTATTTTTCGCTCCATAAGACGCACTTTTTTTCCCCCAAAAGGAGGGGGAAAAAGTGCCTGCGTCTTATGGAGCGAATCCCGACGCCCGAGACATGCAGTTTCGGGCGCCGGGCGAGTAGTAGGAGCCACTGCTCGTTTAACACGAGTGATCTAACGAGATCACTCTTATTAAAGCCGAGCAGCGGCGGCGATCGAGTTCAGCAGCAGGAGCCACTGCTCGTTCAATACGAGTGATCTAATGAGATCACTCGTATTAAAACCGAGCAGCGGCGACGATCGAGATAACCATAGAGCAGACGAAGAACGGACTTTCTTCGCCTGCTCTGTGTGATCACTGAGACCGTGGCGCTGTAATCACAGCGCCACCTGTCTCAGCGGTCACTAACTGCAGCTTCTGTCACAGCTTCTGTCATAGAAGCTGTGACAGAAGCTACAGTCTCGAGTGCTCCATAAGGCGCGCCGGACCTCCCTGCATCTTATGGACCGCAAAATACGGTACACATCAGGGATGGCGAGTCCCTGAAACTGTAGGTGAGCCAGACCAATGAAGTTAATAACCTAATGTGCTCATCACTTATCGGTTTTCTGTGTACAGAGGAGATCGGTGAATGGTTGGTAATGAAGTACAGAACTTTGCTCTTTTTCTTCCCAGTCTGGGCTTGCAGGAGTGAAAGATTAGTCCAGTATGAGTGAAAGCAGTACTTGTGTGTGTGTGTGGTTGTTTGTGTGTGTGGTAGAGAGATCGTGAAGTGGTACTAGTCTTTGTAAGTGCACAGGCAGCATATTGGAGGGAACCACTTCTAATCTGCATGTCACAGTAGCTGTGTGTAGAATACAGAGGCAATGAGTGGCCGCCCTACAGCCTCAAGTAGATAAATCTGCAGATTTCCAGAACAGAATTAGGAGCTGCAGGGTGGTGCCAGTACTGCCGCTCTCCTATGAAGGACAGAAGTTACATCTGAAAGGTAGCATATGTGTGTTGGTTGGGATGTACAGCTAAATGCATGATCAGCTTACCTGCAGTGGCAGAGGGCTGGTGTGTTTTGGTGGCATGGCGGTGAAGCGATGTCTAACTATACCAGAAACACAGCCACACGTGGAAAGTCAAAATACTGTGGCTTTGTTTTGGGCACATTTGGCTTTTATTAATAAGCATGAAGTGTGTGTATTCTACAGTTTACTGATTTAGCTGGAAGGCTCTGTCAATTAAACACTCCTGCACATGACTAAAAAAAAGTGCCCACATGTACCTGCAGCAGCCTCCAAAACAAGGATACTACCTACAGGGGCCAATAGCAATGTGGAAGAGGTGGGCATGCATTGGCAGTATAAGGAAGTACTGCAACTTTGCCCGTCAATATGACCTGGCATACAGTCCTAACTGCTGCCTTTTGGAGACTGCTGATGGTTTGTACAACCATTTCTAGGTGCCTACACATAAGAAAATATATATAACTTGCAGGTATAAACTGACAGGTTCCCTTTAACACCACATTTAAGGATCATTGTCAAGGTGCACACAAAGCAGAGGCTTTGAAAGTGCCATGTATGTGTTCAGATTTTTTATTCTAATGTAGTACCCTTATTTCCCCAAGTAATCTTCCAGGACAGCATCGGAGAGTCTCCTCCCACATGCTGTCCTGGAAGATTCCTGGAAAGCAAGTTACTAGGTACCTAACTCTGTTTTTTGTTTTTCCTTCACAGATTTACTGGGGAGCGTGTGCACTGGTCCTCACAGGAAATGCAGTCATCTTTTCCACCATTTTAGGCTTTTTCTTAGTGTTTGGAAACAACGATGACTTTAGCTGGCAGCAGTGGTGAGACATAGTACCAGAATGACTCCCATGACCACCCATTCAGCCAGTAGAAGGACAGTGTGCAGTAACTGCAGCTCCACCCTGGCACTAGCATGCGGAGTCCTGACACATTGTTTAATCATGCTTTTTGCCATGGACATGCAGTATGGCTTACCAGAAAAGCGCTTTATTGAAGACAAATCTTTCTTCCATGATGCTTACTTATTTGTCCGACTCCCTCTTCAGACCTTTTTTTATTTCTCGTGTAGCTAGTCTGTTTCATACTAGGGTACATAGCTGTAGTTTTTAATGCTGTTTTTTCCTTTTTGATGCTAGAAACCTTTGACCATTCCATGCATGAAGTCAAGACCTCACTTTACAAAATGAGTCTCAATGAAAATCTGCCATGTATAATGCACTTTTTTTTCAAGTGTTAATACTTCGAGGTTTTTTTTGTTGCTTTACTGTCGCTTTTTTTTGCTTTGTTCTGTTTTTTTATATACCGTATTTGCCGGCGTATAAGGCGACTGGGTGTATAAGACGATGCCCTAATTTTCCAGTTAAAACATAGGTTTTGGGCTATACTCGTCGTATAAGAAGAGTATAGCCCAAAATAATGTTTAAATACACACACTAATCTGTCAGCCCGCTGGATGTGCGGTAATACTGTATGTACGGTAGCTTTGGCTACATACAGTATACTGCGCTGAGCCAATCACGGCAAACAACGTATTCTATTAATGAATACAAAGCCTGCTCGGATTGGCAGAGGTTGTGTACATCGCTTGCCGTGATTTGTTTAGCGCGGTATACTGTTTGTAGCCGAAGTTCCCCTACATACAGTATTACCGCACATCCAGCGGGCTGACAGATTAGGGACATTTGTTTTGGGACAGCTTGGCCCCCAAAAAACTAAAGGTTCACGTTGTATACCCCACGTATAAGATGACCCCCAATTTTCGGGGGATGTTTTTAAGCATAAAAAGTCGTCTTATACGCCGGCAAATACGGTAGATTTTGGCAACCATTTGTATGTCTGAAATGTCTAGTGTAACTGTGTTGTTTTTTTATTTATTATTTTGTTAATTAATGAAGATTTGTAAAATCGTTGTTCTCCTGTAGTTTTATGACCATGAAGAATTTGTTGAGGCCTCACACAGACAGGGAGAGGGCAGATAGCAGTAATGCAGTACCTGTCGCTTCTTGACATGTAATATACATTAATAAAATCAAACAAGTACTGCTTTTTTGGTAAAATAATCAATCATATTGTATCAAAAACTGACAAAATGTAAGTAAACCTGATGTTGGGGAAATAATATACATTATTGGCTTTAAAGAAGAACTTGGGAAATAGGATTTTTTTTTCTTAACCCTTGCAGTGGTGCTTCCCTTGCACTGCAAGGGTTAAGTGCTCATTTTAGTCTAAGTGCGAAAATGGAAAAAAAAGTTATACCAACCCAATTGTCGGAGATGTCTGGCTCTTAGACTGGTCCCTCCAGCCTCAATGGTACAGTATGTCCCTTGGCGTCATCAAATGCGATACATGGTGTATTGGACTTGATGACTCCCGAACCTTAGAGAAGAGGCTGCAGGGATCAGTCTAACAGGCCGCCGGCTCCAAAAATCGGGTGAGTATAGGTTTTTTGTTTTTTTTTTTGCATTTTTGCACTTAGACCAAAATGAGTACTTAAACCTTGTAGTGCTGGGGTAGTCCCACTGCAAGGGTTAAGAAAATGTTTGTCTTGAGTTCCTCTTTAAGGGTGTTTGAAGTGACTGACTCGAGAAGAGTCTCTCATTCTGTCCTAACAACCAATCTGCTTCTTTTGCTGTTGCTAGGGCAGGTTAAAACATATAAGGGAGATAATGATTGGTTGCTAGAAGGGAACGATAAGTTTGTCAGTCGGCACATTCAACATGAGTTCTTTCCTTGTGTTTAAAGCAACTCTGTCACTCTCCAAAAAATGAATAAGTAGCACCTTACAAAACAAAAAAAGTTTATACTCTCCTATTCTGGTCCCGTCTGTGGAATCTTCACTTTCTTCAACAACTACAGCTGCTCAAGAATCTTCAGCATCCAACATGTATTTTGGGTGTGTTAGATCCCTGGTCCCCCACTGCGCTCTGTGATTCAGTCTGCCAGTCCAGTGATTACTCTGTCCTGTAGTGATGTCTGAGCCAGCAGACTGAACTATAGCACATGGCAAGAGGCACAAGCATTCTTCAGATGAGGAAGATTCTACAGAAGACAGTAACTCTTAAGAGGATTCCACGAACGGGCGGCAGGATAGGGAAGGAAAGTGAAGATTCCATGAGCAGCTGATGGGATAGGGGCGGAGAGTGAAGATGGCCAAATTACAGTGGTCTACAGTTTTTGTTATTTATTCCTTTGGCTAGTCCTGCACTGGAAAAACAACTTGTAATCTGGTTGCTATTAGCAACTTAAGCTTAATTTTTACAATCGTGCCCATCATTAACTACTGAATACCCTGACAAGTTTATAACTGACAGGTTGTTACTTTTACAATGACAATTGGGGAAATATATCAAAACTGGAGCAGATTTGCACTGCAGCCAATCAGCTTCTCTGTCTCTTTTTCAAATTTTACCTGAGCAAACTGTAGAGATGCTGATTGGTTGGCAACTGGTCCAGATTCTGTCTGCTCCAGTTTTGATCCACCCCCCCCAATGTATTTAGAACATTGCTTTGTCTTCCATGGTGACAAAAGGTAGACATGTCTAAATAGCTAATTATGTATATTTGTGAAATTTCAGCTTTGTGTACTCAACAGGTCAAAATGAAAGGTTTAAACATTTATTTTGGCCCTTTTTGGAAAACAATTCTGGTGCAAGATTGTGGAGCTCTTTCATTTACAAAGGTGCATCTACATATGTTTAACAGGCAATGCTTACCTCATATTAGTAATGCTGTCATTGCATACAATATATAGTGTTTTATTTAATTGTATACTGTCATCATCATTATTATTACATAGGATTTATATAGTGCCAACAGTTTGCACAGCGCTTTGCTATATAAGGAAGACATTACAGGTACAATACAATTCAAGACGATAAAGTATATTGTTCAGCTCTGGTGTCTTATTCATACACAAGCATTATGGTAGCATAACATACATGCAGTCATCTCTTCCTCTTTATGGTGGAATGCAAATCGGAAAAGATGGGTAAACAGTAGAAACATTTGCCTCCATAAATTGGAATGATGGGGTGATGTGATGATAGACTGTTTAGATCTTCCACACGCAGGGCAAGTAATCAATACTTGTGTGCACCGACACAAAGCAGCACCATGGGGATTATTTTTCCATACCCAGACAGTAGGAAGACACTGTAAGGGGAATTTATAAAAACTTGAGCAGTTGCCCCTGGCAACCAATTGGCTTCTCTCCTTTAATTTTCAAATCTTTACTGGACAAACTGAAGAGAGAAGCTGGTTGCTATGCACAGCTGCTCCAGATTTTGTCTGCTCCCGTTATGATAAATTCCCCTCACAGTCTACTCTAACTGCACACTCTGCCTTCCGCTGGAATTTGAAAAAGTTATTGGTTGCACAAGGGGTAATGATTGTAATAGTGTCAGTGTCGTTGGATCTGTGGAAGGCTAATCCAGGCAGGGGGTACATAGTGCTAGCTCCACGGAAGGTAGAAGCAGGGTTCTGCTGTGGTTTTGCATCGTGATGAAACCCATTACAAAACATCTACCTTTTAACATAATGCAATAAAATGATCCTTCTCTCCACTGGACATCTATCTATCTCGCACACACACTGTATAATGATTGATAGGATTATTAAACATTCTTTTTTTTGTGTTTAAATGTCTCCCAAACTCAGAATTGATGCTGTTTTTTGTTTTCTTCATTTATTTTTTATTTCTCCCTCGCCAACAACTTGAATATTATCACTTTTGTATTGTATATTATTATGACAGCTCTGCACTGAAATGTTCTTAATCCGCACCTGCAGCCCAGTAATATGGCCCCAATAAGAAAATTGGGCAGCCCTGTTATGGAGGGTTAAAGCTAGACTGCAAACAAACTTCTTTTTTTTTTATTTGTTATGAGAACAATTTTTTTTTTTTTATAAATTAATTTTTATGATTACCTGCTGTCAGTCAACATTAAAGGGATCCCTCTTAGCTTCTGTCCAAACCAGACCTAGGTTCAAACTTTTTGCTATTCCTGTAATAAGTTTAAATGCTTTTTTTTCCTGGACTTCCACTAAGATCCGTAGTAACAGCCCTCATATATTGTGGCAATGTTTCCCTTAACACTGCCGTCAGAAGTGTGGGGAAACTCTTGAGTGTAGAGACAAGAGGGTACATTACGTTAAAGGAAAACTTTAATGTACTGAGAGTACCTACCTATTATTGTAATATTAACCTAAAATGTCATTTTGCTTTGCTCATTGTGCTTTCTGTGTCGTAGATTATATACATATACAGATTGTCCCTACTTAAGTATATCTAAAGCCCACATTTTTCTTTCATTTTTGGACACCGTAGTGAAAGGTTAAAACTGGTGGCGGGACTTTTTTGGGAGATTTCCCTGCACTTCCTTTCGTCAAGCCTGAGCAGGTAGTGAGATTATATCTTTTATATCTTTGGTAAGTGTGCAGTGAAGGAGAAGAACAGTAAAGAAGCATTACTAATCTAGAAGGATAAGCCTGCCCATGTAATTAGATACGAATGATGTAAAATGTCAGACGTTCTGGCACTAAAGCGTGTTGTTTTATGGGTTTTTCAATATCTCTGGCAATGCTGAAACCTTAGTCATTGCAGATCATACATTTTTATTTTCTCTGATGCCTGCAACAAAGATGGCAGTATACATTTTGATATTTAGACAACATCATAAAGGTTTATTCAACTTTGCATGAACAGCAAAAGAGAAGCAACAGCATCACTGACACGATTCCCATTTTGCTGTTGCTTCTTTGCTGTTGAAGTATTTATGGCAATGCTGTGTCTGTTTAGTGAGCTGCAGTAAACGATCTACTTGCTTGGTCATCCCTAGTGGTGTTGCAGCTTCTCGTGTTTGACTAAATGTCCAGATTTCGAGTGGAGCCCTGGTTGCAGCATAAAGTGTAATGAATACTTTTTTTTTTACCTACTGAGCCTCCATTTTTAAGTGCAACAATGTAATCGTCCATTTCTCGGAGAGATGGTTTAAGTAGTTAGTGCAGACTTCATTTCTTGTACCTTTTTTAAAGATGTGCAAATGTTTTGTTTTTCTGGCAAAAACATGTATACAATGTCCGATAACTGTCTTAAGTATGTTTTTTGTAGTGAGGTTTTTAGTGGAATACATTTTCACCGCATACTTGTATCCATACTCTACAAGACATTCTCAGGGCTATGCTAAATGACTTGGCTTTTGTGAAATGTAGCTGCAGTTGATATATTTGTCTAACACAAAGC